GTGTGTGTGTGTGTGTGTGTGTGTGTGTGTGGTGTGTGTGTGGTGTGTGTGTGTGTGTGTGTAAAACCTCCATTAATTTAATCAGAATAGCACAGAATGTAGGGAAACGATCCATTCACATTAAGTCAAGAGTAAAGAGTCCCAGTTTCACTAACCATTTCTTCTTTCTCTCTCATGTGCAGGGAGGGTCATGCGGAGACTGTAGCCAAGTACAAGGTGCATGCAACTGTCATCTGGACATTTGTCCAATCCACGTTGACATTTGAGGAATCCTAGAGTGTGGTATGTTCATTCCAACAGGACCTTACAATTTTGTTAGGGATGTAAAGGTTGTTATCCGATAACAAGAAAAACTTGAAACACAGTCATGACTGAGTTAAAATTAAGACAACTGAGTTTTTTCCCTGCAAGTTATTTCTTACTGTTATGATGTTTAGCTTCCTCAATTTTATGTCATTGTTTAGTTAATTAAATATATATATCAAATTCATATATCAACTGCTATTTATTCCACATCTTTGCACGAATGAGAGCAAAAACTTCAGAAACAAGCCAAATCAAGTAGTTTTACATATTTATATTTAATTTCCACATTTTTCATTCTCTATACTTGCATGATACTTTCTAGATTTCAGATCACTTCCCCATATTCTTTCATTTGAGCCTCAGGTACTCACTGTGTTAGGCCCCATTGTATACATGGCCTGCTCAGTATCTCTTTCAGTGCTCAGAGAATCCCCGTAAAGAAGATGTCACTACCCCTTTAGACAGGAGGAAGTTAAGGCCTGCCGATGGGGGTCAAACAACTAGCCAGAAGCTCATCAGTTTCAAAGAGTTTATCCAGAATCAGAGCCCTGTTTTGATGTCATAGTTTTCTCTTTCCATGGCGGCACATCCTTGACAATCATTTGTATCCCTTTTAAAGTCTATCTTGAGACACAGTTTTATGAATTTTCAACTCTATTAAACAGCAGCATTTCCTTGGCCAAGTGTAAACTCAAGTGCCCAGACAGTTTTCAATTTTCTGGGGCTTTGAAACAGACTCTCAGTTATAGTGACTTTCACTTTTTTCTTCTCATTACTAGTGGGTGTGATTGAGAAATGCTATTCTTATAAATAAGACAAATTTGCTTTGTGGCAAGACTGAAAAAATAAATCAATCAGTTGGACCTGATTTCCTCTATTTGCCACAAAATTAATTTTAATTGTTTAAAAGTTATACATTTTCAGGGCATGCTCTGTGTTCTCTCTCACTTTTAGTGTCAACATAATCAGCAACTTATCCTCTGAATGTTGTCATTTGCATTAATATTAAACTGCCAGAGAGATAGAGTTTCTAAACTTTTGTTTCCTTTACATAATTATTGTATGGTCCTTGCAGAAAATTTTGAATATTAGAATAGTTTATATAATAATAATAATAAAATGAAACCACTGAAAATCACAAAATTCAGTGACAACCACTATCAACATGTTGGTTTAAAATTCTTCAAGACTGTTTTTGTTTTTAAGTCTTTGATAAATTTTAATAGCTGAATCATGCATATCTTTCTGTATCAATAATTCTATTTATGTAGCTTCATTGTTTCATGCTGTCGCGTATTCCATTTGATGAATATTTTGACATATATTTTACCAGTTGTCTATAAGTTGACTTTTTAAAAATGATGCTTTGAAAAGTTTAGGTAAAGAACGATTATCAAAACTTTGCTAATAATCATCCTTTGCCTAAATTTTTTCATGCCATTGATTATTTTCTTAAGATATATTCACAATATAATTGCCTGATCAAAGTTCAAGGATTTTAAGGATTTCAAAAAGGGCAATGTTTTTAAAATGCCCCTTCATTTTTTTGTATTCTCATATTACTGCGCGTCCTCTGTATTGAACATAGAGTTAACAATTCAAAGTTTGAATGATCTGTCATTCCACACAGAACTTTTATGAATTTGACTTTAAGTAAAACTAATTTCATAGCATGAATTTAGTTTTTAAAAGGCTAAAATTTTATTTCAAAATATATCCTGAATTTCCAAGAACTCAGCTCAAAATATTACTCTTTTGTTTTCTTGTTCATATACATTTTATCAATGTATGAAGTACCTACTACTTGCAATGCACTATGCTAGACAGTGTTGATATATAAATGATAGGACATGACCCAGACTTTGAGAAGTTCACCCTTTAGTAACAAAATCCACAACTTTATATTGAGTCCCTAATATACAGTATGAAAAGCACTACAACAAGTTTGTTTTTAATATGTAATCTCAGTATGAGTAGTTTAATACAGTGACCATTATTTCTCTCAATGCCTAGTGCTGAAAATTTCAAGATCTGCCACCATTAAAGAAATATGACATTATGTTCATACACAGAGTACGCTGTAGAAACACTTCTGATCCTATGCTACCCACCCTAAGAAGCAGCATTTTTATTGCCTTCTTAAATATTTCCAGGAATGGATAGCCTTTTGTGCAGCAAGGCAGCCTGTTCTACTGTTGGATTGCATTAATGGTTGACATATCATTCTATGTTGTAATAGGTACCTATTGTTCCTACTTTTTGCTTTGGGAGAGATGAAGAATAAATCTAATCCAATGGGTGTATTTTCAAGAACTACTATGTTCAGGTCTTGTTCTAGGTACTATAGGCTAATTTCTATTTCCTCTTTCAACATTCGATGATAGTTTTCCTAAATATGCAAGTTAACTAGTTCACCCTGGTCAGAGTAATTGGACCATTACTACTAAGCTTGCTAAATTTATGTAAAGCAACACATTTTGGCCTTAGTACTTGACCACATTTATGAGCTAGGTGAAGAGATTTTTTACAACTGACTAAGAGGACACAGCTGTCTGCCTGTCCTACTATGTACAGATTACCAAAAATTATATTGAAAAGGAAACAAGTCATTTGCTTTAAACTCTTTCTAGTGATTATGTGAGAAGGCTTGCTGTGGTTGTATACATGGTGTACAAAAGCAAACCTACATGGGAACTGCACTTCACCTTCACCTATGGTTGCCCTTCAGCAAGCCTTCTCTAGGTTTTGCTCTCTCTGCCAGTCAAATGAAGGATTCAGTCATCTTTAAGAGGATTGTAAAAGCAAGATTTTAGGACAGACACACCCCCTGGGGTTGTCTAACATTGTGCTACATGTGTGTGGTCACTTCTTACAGGCTCCTGTACTGTGTCCCTGTCATATGGGTTTGACATGTATTAACCAACTTAATCTCATGCTGCTGTAGGAAACATTATCATTCCCATCTCAAAGAGGAGAAACCTGAGGCAGAGAGTTATGTGCCTAAGAAAAAACAGAAGAAGCCTAGCTCAGTTTAAGGGCATCCCAGAGTGTAGCTCCTGACTTCTGTACTGCCCTGGGTAGCCAGGTGAATGACTACTCCAAATTTTGAACTCCACATAGTTTTTGAGTTTAAAAACAACGCCCGTCATCAACACATAAGCCTGTGAATTATTCAAGGTAGGCATATACATAATGTCTAAACAGTGTTTTTGTGGTTGAGTCACTAAAATGACCAAATTTCATACCATATAAGTCTTAATATATATGCTTGAAATCCTTCTTACATGAAGAAAAATGTCTTAGAGAAATGAATACTTTCTACTTTAGTTCATGACTGTATTTAGTTGCTCATGCATATTTTCCTCTTATTTTTAAGTTTTCTGGCTGATGACACATCATTTAGTTTATTTTATCCTTTACTGATATTACTCCTTATCTATTTTAAATACCACATAATTTTTCCACATCAAAGCTTGTGTTTCCTTTACCTCTCACTCCATCCTTGACTTCTTGTTACGTGTGTGTCTTGCTTCTTAAACAGGTAAATTGCATTAAATGCTATCTGTTGACAATAGCTTTTTACTTGCTCGTTATAGTTTGCATTCCCTGATCAGAAGAAGTGAAGAAAATATCAGTGTCCAGTATCTGTCTGCTTGAGGGTATAAATTAAAAAACTCTCATAAACATAGTACAGCAAAATGGGAATACAGTGAAAGCTGTCAGTTCGCCTGAGACTAGTCAGTCAACAAACGTGGTGGTCAAGTTGAACTCAGTGGGAAACACAAACTGGGCATGGGCAAGTGTGGGTGGAGGTATGAGGAATGGGCTTATTCTCTTCCTCCCTCCCTCCCTTCCCCCTTTCCCTTCTTCTCTCCTTGTCCTTTCGTTTCCCTTTCTCCTTTCCTTCCTTGTATCTTTCTGTCTTTCTCTTTCCCCCTTTCTTCTCTCCTCTCCTTTCTTTCCTTTCTCTCTGTCTCTCAATCATGACATAATTTGTGGATATATAAAAAGATGACTCCAACTCAAAAAAAATAAAAAAGATGTCATGTTCCTCCACACTTTGAACTATCATCACATGGGAAAAGTAAATGCTGTTAGCCTGTATGAAATATCAAACCATCAAACCCAGGGAGTTTTGCCATCAGTACACAGAAATGAAACTCAGGTGAAAGATGACAGCTGAGATGTTTCAGAGCCTCCTAGGTGATACCGGTATCACAGAGACATAGGCTGAGGGAGGGAGCGTCACGGACAACCTCTGGGGAACCCAAAGCCCTAAAGAACGTGCTTCCCAAACTTGGCAAAAGGAATTGTGATAAAAAGGTTAAAATAAGAGCAAGAGAGAGAACTCTTGTCTTTGATATGGCTCTACCTTGTGTTCATCTTTCCATTACATGACCTGGCTCTCAGGTTCAGGTAGACACCTTGTCCCATAAATTTTTATCACCATGCTATTGTTTCCCTTTGTATGAAACACAAGGTAATAAAATAAAGCCAGATAACTATGACTTTATACATTATATTGACCACTAAAATTTAAAGCATCAACAATTTACAGCATTTATATAATATTAAATAATTATTGTTAATTTTTAGATGTTAATAACCATGGCTTTGTTTTAAAATAAAATTCTTATATCTTATAAATGCATGCTGAAATATTTCTAGATAAAAGTATATGATTTCTGAAATTTCTTTGAAAACAATATAGAAATGGCTATTGAATGGGGGGTATAGATAAATGACATTGGCCTAACAGCATTGTTGAAATTGATTGATGGGTATATGGGGTTTATAATACTCTTCTTTCTACTTCTGTGTTTGTTTAAAGTTTTCCATTTTGAAATGTTTCAATGAATGGAATATAACAATAAAATTCCTACTAACCGATTTGTGGGGAATGAATAAATTTAAAAAATCACGCTTTCTACCTTTGAAAACTTTCTACCTTTGAAATAATTGGGGGTAAATTTTCT